ATATATATAGGACTCGTGAACTAGTTTTAACTTTTGACTTCAAGAAATTCATGTTAAACAGAAACGGAATAAGAGATAATCAAACGAAAACGTTGTGCCCTCTGGTGAGATTCGGTTAATTCTAGTAAGTTAATTGCACATCGGACCATATTCCTGTCAAGTGACAGATCTGATCTCTCTCGGCGGATTAGACGTCTTGTGATAAGGGTCGAGAAGAAAGCATCGATTTTAATTAGATTTAGTGGTTACGTGTTTTTTTTGCACGAAATTAATTCTAAATACGTTTTGGAATATACTGGGTATAGTTCACGGGCTAAGACTTAGTTTGAACTTCGTAATGAAGGTAAAATTGGGAGACAATTAAGTTAGTTTTTCCGCAAACACGATTCCTTGAGCTTACATTCTGTATCACACGCGCACGCTGTTCCTTGAATTGTGTAAAGAAATAGCTCTGCAAGAAATGCATTTCTTCCTTTTTCTACGGTGTAGCTATATGTAAAAGAAAACCTTCCTTAGAAAACAACGGTCATATTTATCTTACGGAAAGTTTGCAAGCATCCCTTAACTCTCGTTGATTATACGGAGGGCTGTTGACAATGGAACCTGACTTTTTTCTGCAACATTGTAGGCTAAATTCGTTCAAGATTAAGTTTAAAATAGGCTTGAAGTTCTTATTCATCTACTAAGTGGCTAAGACGCCATTAGAGTGAGTCGAGCTTTGAACAATTGTGTTAGAACTTTTTAGCACAGGTAAATATTCAGATTCTCACCTGAAAAACTCGGCGGAAAGATTTGGCCTCAAGATAACATCCAAGTGAATACAAATGAGATCCAAAACAGAACTTCTCATCTGTAGTATTGACTTTGATCGAAACGAACGCCAGCGCTGGTTCAGAAACTAAATTAAAATTTGAACAGCATTCATAATTAATTTGTTTACTTTCACCCACAGCTGATCTCATTATATACGGATTTCGTGTGAAATATAGAACTTTCGTGCTTTCTTGTAACTTGATAAATAGCAATTTCGAATATTTTGCAATAGCTGTATTCTATCTCTACTTTTGGCCCTGAAATTGATTCCTTGTCTGAAAAAGGAACTTAAGATTCACCCCTAAAAGTTCTAAAAATTTCTGAAAAGAGAGCAAATTGCAGTCACTTACGCAAGAAACTACTTTTGTTCTGAGTAACGCTCGTTACATTCTGAGAAGCTGCAAATTGAATGGGGAGTGGGGAATTCTCAACTCATTCTATTCACACCGGAAAAGGAGATATTCGATGACACGATTTATTTGTTTTGAATATTTGTATAATGAGAAACTTCACAACCATTGTTTCAACAAATCGACGTTTCGTTTTGTTCCTGATTGGAAAATTAATTGAAAGGAAAATTTCTACTGGTTTTCGTGTTACCAGAAAATTGGCGTTGTGAAAGATAACCAAATTATTGTTTTATTACCTGAATTACTAGAAGAAACAAGAAATACGTTTTCCTTTGAATACTTTCTCGATATTTGCTTTCGGAAAAGCTTGTCATTTCTTTCTTAACACATATGCTAAAAACACTTTTGTTCATGTTTACTTTTTTTAGCAGCTGACCTTTGCCGTTTCTCAGCCCATAATTATCGGGCAGGTAAATCCGTACACTTTTCCGAAAATTATTAAAGCTGTATCAAGAAGAATTTATGAATATACCTTAAGAGGTTTACCCATGACATGTCTGAATCTTATCATTGGGGAAAACGTAAAGGAAGAATGCGTTGCTTGGCAACATTGCTCATCTTCGTGTACGCTGAGGAAGTTACTAGCCGACAAGAAATTAAAAAGTGAGCTCTTCTACTTCATAACAAGTCAGACTTCAATTAACACTTTTTCATCTAATGCCAAAAATACAATTAAACATCAGATGCATTATTTTTTTTTTTGGGACGTACACATATCGGAAGTGCCTACTGACACTTGAATCCACGTCAATTTTTTACCATCAGTTCTCATGCAAGATTTTTTCATATCACGTGGCAGTCCGTATAACCTCTCAAAACAGAGGGACAGAGTGCGAAAAAAAAAAACACAAAAACTTTTTGTGTCCTCCGAGGGTGGCGATATGAGCGTTAGTTTTTACAGCATTTGGCGCCTTTGACAATTTGCTTTCTCCTATTTACATCCAAATTGAACCATTTCGCAGAACACCAAGTCTCGGGATGGGAAAAGTCATTCTTCGACAAATTCTAATTTTAGAAAACACTCAGGAAACACTGATCTACAATTGCAGCCTTTCATAATATTTATAACCGTTCCGTTGGTGAAATTTCGCCCAGCAGCTGTCTCTAATTTCGTCATTTAGCTCGCAGACTCTTCCTGAACTCATTAATTCACGTCCTCCAGTCGGTAGATACTCGAAGTTAAACGACACACAATTACGATAGAGCAAACATTCACGCGCACATACAGTGATGTCATCAACAAGCAAGCTAGTAATCATGTGACCTATGAAAGCAGCGTCTGTGGCATGCTGAATGAAGGTTCCAGAAACAGGGCTGACATCTGAAATGAGAAAGTGATGAAGTTAATTTCCCTCCTGTCCAGTAGAACTCAACCTTTCTGGAACTCAATAAATTCAGGGTATGAGATCTTTTATAGACTTTCGGTTTACTTTTTCCCCAGAGAACCCCCCTGAAAACCATTTATAGCAATGGAAATGTGATTTTTATAATCAATTGTCATCATTAATCGGAGCTCGAGATTTCCTGTGATAAAATAATTGTAATAACAATCACAAGTGCAACTTTCGAAATGCAGGACACGTTTGAGACAGTTGGAAGATCAAAATCCAAGATAGCAATATTATTCGTCATATCTTGCTGACCCTGCGTGGAGTGATTATCCTATTGTCGTTCCCGCAGTAATCTCCTTGCCCCAGGAAATTCCTCCGTCAGAGGGACATTTCTACATCTTTACAACACTCATGAAGCGTATTCGTATATTATTCTCACCTCTAGGCGCGATGCACAGATGATCACAACTGTTAACAAGGCATTCCTGAAACTTCCATTGATTTGGCGATCTTATGGCGCAGATGTGCGTCATCGAGTTTGATACATTTTTTTGTGTCAAAGGTAAAGTGGAGAAGGAGCTCGCATTCACGAGAGCTACTACAATACACTGAGAAGATTTTCCACTATCCACACTCGACTTAATCGTGTAAAGGAACTGTTCCAGAAGGCGGAATGCACTTTTACTTGTCGCGTAATACAATTCCCCTTCATTCTTTTGGCAGTATTCTTTCATTTTATTTTCGGTTGAACTGTTACTTGCAGTCACAAGAAAACAGAAGTTATCCTGAGCCTTCCACGCCATATTACATCCGGCAACTGTGAAAAATAAGGCGAGTAAAATTTGATTGCGTATATTTATAACATATTTTAAAATTAACTTGCATTGAAAGGTACTTCTTTTGCCCATCACTGAGGCATACATTGAATTTAGTAGAACTGGTTCCACGCCGAACGTTTGCAAGTTTTCCACGGCAAGCTTGCGAAAAAAGTTGATCTGCTATTCATTTGAACCACCTCCTCGAAAACACTATTTACATGACACTGTATGTCTTAAAAATAATACTCTGTGGCTTTTCTTATCGGATTATCCAACGGGAACGTTTTACTATAAAGTTAAAAACACCCACATACTTTCGGACTTCTTGATGCAGTTCTTCAAGCCACAAGTTGCGTCGTTTTAACGTATGTGTGTGTGGTTATTTTTCTTTTCTTTGTTTGTTTGTTTTCAATACAGAAATGGAAAAAAGTAAACTTGTCACTGTTTCCTTACCTTGATGACTGTAGTCATAGAATTTGTAGACGTAATAAGTAGATTTCAGGCCTACTCCTCTCACGCATCTTTCAGCTGGTCCGTCACGACTGTACGTTTGATCAGCGGTTGCTCCAGACCAACATTGTCCATAATAGCGCAGTCCAAAATAACTGGATACAAAGAAAAAGAGATGTAAGATAATTATATCCAATGAACAAACTAATTTAGTGCAACGAGGATGAGAGCAACAGGAGATCTAAAATACAACCTGAAACTTCTATTGTATGCCAAGCTTGCGCACTGTTCAATTACAGCCTCGACATTATTCCAGTTTATTTCTGGACGAAAGTCCCTGAGAAGCAGCGGCATGGGACGAGGTGAAGCACCACTGTCCAGGTAGCATCCTACGGGCTCAAAAATTGGTACTCCTGGAACGAAGTGATACAAAAGAGAGATTAAGTCATGCTTAGTTGCAATCTGAACTCGGGTTAGACTTTATTCGATATTTACATTATGTTCTTTGTAGATGATTTACGCAAAAAGTGCATGATTCTCTTGGTAGAGGATGTCCCTTATAGAAGTAGGACTGGCATGTGCAAGAGCGTCGTGAAACTGGTCAAACTAAAGTAATTTGGCAACAGTCAACCAGAAGAAAGGAAATTATAACAAGGAGCCAATGAGAGGTCATGGGCAAGAAACCAGCAAGTTGCTTAAAGCGAGGGAAAACGTGTTGGTGCCCAAATTGTGATTGATTTTAACTTTGCATTTGATTGGTTGAGAGAGGGGCGTGAATTTTATGGACTAATCATAGACTGAGGAGAAACAAAACCAGTGTAATTCTGGACAACTTTCGACACTTGATTGAATATCACTCCTTATTATATGGCTGTCTCACAAGGACTGGGAACTACTGAATTCACGAATTTGATTGGCTGAAATCAATATTGAAAGCGGTCTAGACTTTCCCATCTAGACCGGCATCTAGACCGGTCTAGAATAAAAAGGTACAAAGAATATAAAAAATTGGCATATAAGACACAGCCATATAATAAACATCTTATTAACCGAGCTAGGTCGGTCTATATGAGAGAATCTTGACCTCGGTCGCTGGTGCAGACCTCACTGCGTTCGGTCTGTACTGGCAACCTCGGTCAAGATTCTCCCATACAGACCTCCCGCTCGGTTAATAAGAACTAAATAATACAAATAAGTAAGTGCTAACGACACCGGTGAATAGTGCTTTTGGGTTGGAGTTAGCCCTATTGGCTAACTCGCAAGTGTTAAAAAAGTACTGTTAGAGTGTTTTTAAATATTCGGTATACTGTCAGAAACAAATTACTTTTTTGGCTAAGGGTGATTTTATAATAATTATTTAACTCAGTGTCGATAAAAATGGTGGATAACTTCCAAGCTGCAAAGCGGTCAAATTTCCACCAAAATGCAATTCCTCTTCGTAATAAATAAATAAATAAATAAATAAATGATTTAACAATGGACATCCACTGGGTGGCTATTCTTGTCCACTGTTCCAGATCGAATTGGAATTTGGAATGTTGGTTTTTGCGGAGGGAGGAAAACCGGAGGACCCGGAGAAAAACCCTCGGAGCAAGGACGAGAACCAACAACAAACTCAACCCACATGAGACGCCAGGTCCGGGAATCGAACCCGGGCCACAGTGGTGGGAGGCGGGTGCTCTCACCACTGCGCCATCCCTGCTCCCCTGCTAAATATAACATCACCGGAGAAAAGACGCTAAGCCATCAATGTTAATCAAACAATTTTAAAATCAATTCGGCCACCAATTTAATCGATCTATCTGAAAACAAACCAACAACAAGATCAAACCAACCAAGATATATATTAATCATTTGGCAACCAAATAAAAAAAAATCCCTGAGCCAGTTCGTGGGTCAAATCAAAATATCTGCATGTTTTGTTTCCCTTGTTGGATGAAGCTTTGGTCCGGTGCAGTTCCAAACGAAAATAATTCACGGTTCATTTTAAACCGTTGGGTTAGCGAAAATAAACTAACCGGCATCTTTTAATTTAACATTTCAGGGATCAAAAAAAATAAAATATCTTTTGAATGTTTGCTTTACTGCGTTTTTTGTTCCCTCAAATCGTCTGAAAACCAATTCTTTACACAACTTCGACCTTAAATATTTGTACTGCGCTTGAAGAACCTAAGTCAAGATCAAGTTTCCACAAAATGTCCCGAAAAGTTGGCTGTCATTTACATGCAAACGAAAATAAGAAGACGCAAGTCTCGGCTAGACATTAACAAACACTGAAGGAAAAGAGAATAGATTTAATAAATTGAAGAAGTCTTAATCGCGCGGTGACAACCCGAAACAGATACTAAAGGGTTTGACTAACTGCAAATTCTTCAATCATTTTACCTGCAAAGCAGAATAGATTGTAAACGGTAAATGACTTCAAATATGTAGTAATCATAAAAAGTAAAATCCATCTTACAGAATTAAGAAAGGTATTGCATTTTTTTATTTGATAATGAACTAGTATAGAGCGAAATAAACAAACAGAAACCAGTTTTTTAATATTTGGATGCCATCGATCTGAACCCACTTGTGTTTTTAAACTTATGCCGGTAACGAGTGACGGAACAGTAAGTTTTTCAACACGATCGTTCGATTTTCTAGAATATATTCGACACCGGGAAAAGAAAAGAAACATTGCATCTAGCAATTAGTTATCAAAGAAATAGAAGTTAAAATTGAGTAGGATTACATATTATTACGTCGGAAAAAAGCTGTACTTACCTTGAAGCAAAGAAAACGCTTCTGAAAAAATAAAAATCCCCAATACCGAAAGAAACATTCCGGGAAGATTTTCGCAGAGGGAAGACCATCAAAAAAACGCTCTCGTCGATCAAAAGGCAAGGAAACTTCCTTCAAAACAATCTAATGCGTTCAGATTTACTCTGAAAAAATTAAACGTCAGATATTCGTCTCTTGTCAATTAATAGCAATCATGAAACATACGTATATCGGAAGCAACTAAAATTTAGCTACATTCTAAATACGCCCATAAACCAAATTATTGTTTCAAATATGAATTACACCGCTTATATTTATTGTTTTTTCAAAAGGATTCACAGCTAATCTGATCCTTCCTACAATAGAGATTCTAATCTAAAATTTATTACAAAACAAAAATCTTTGAAAAGATATTTTTTTCGCTCTCAAATTTGATTGTTATCTCCATATGCAGCTTTCTCATAATTTTTTCCTCCGCCAAATTTGCCTCGCTTCCTGTTAATCTATTTTTCCCGGCAACGCACCTGTCATTTTTTTCCTCTGCACTGTTTGTACTTTGTTTTCAATCAAAGTTAAAAGGCTGATCAAGGGCTGTTCTCATTGGAAGATATTGGATCTTAAAAGCATTTCTGCAATTTTGGTGTCCAATGTTTGCAGACAGCCTGAATATTAAGCCTGCAAAATCCCGGAATGGCTAATGAAGGCATCAATAGAAATGTATTTTACTACCAATTCTGTGGAGTCATGTTGGGAATTGTCACGTTGTAATCAAACGATCGATTATGAGAGAAAAGAGGTTCATGCTTGGGTTGCTGATTGAGACATCTGATAGTCACACGGTATAAGTGACTGTTTCAGAAGAGGCCTAAGACCTATAAACAGTTTTCAAGGTAAAGAACGGACCGATTTGTTTCACAAAACAGAATATGTTTACTGCCGCTGTTGTATGACACTTCTCCCTTGTACTAGAGAATGCAGTGCCTGTTTCCTCAGTTACCTCTAGGTAACCAAAGGAATAGCTTGTGGGCCATCAGTGTGAGCTCACATACCATTAAGATATATTTGGCTTGGACTACAGGAAAAGGATAAAGGACCTACACCTTTAAAACTAACCACTGAATGTTTACCTTGATAGTTACCTGAAATCCTCACTTATCCAGCTCTGTATTCAGGTAACACTTCTATTAAGAAAGATGTCACATGATCTCTTCCAATCAGCCCAAAGTTCATTGAAAAGGTATCAATGATTGACTATTTTTTCCTTATATAAGCTTTTTCTCTTATATCTGTGGTATATCATTTCTTGCACACCAAGGAAATAGTCATATAGAGGAAACATTAATTGCAATGTAAAATCAGGCAAACAAAGATTTGTCAATCAATGAGGGGTTGTTATCAACACCCAGCTAGTATCTGGAAGGAATGGCAAAAAAAAAATTAAAAAAAAAAAAAAATAGTTCTTCACTAGATCTGTGTTTAATTTTGGCCAGTGACTAGGTTGTGTCATTAATTGTATTCTGTGACCTTCAGTTCAGATATAAGGTTTCTCAAAGGATGTTTCTCTTGATATTTTATCTTGTCAAAAATTTTTGTTTTTCTAAGACATCATAGATGTTGATCACCTTAGATATGTATCTCTGTTTGTGACACCGGTCCAGGAAACACCACACAGTTGTAAGCTCTGCATTAACATCACTGTGAACTGATAGACCCCAAGTCAAATTGGGAATAACTACCCTTTGAAACAGGTGGTACACATCATGTGTAACATTACACATGACTTGTCCTGGAGTACTACTTGGTGACTGCTGCCCAAAAAGAATCTGCAAGGTAATCCAATTTTTCAGGCTACTTCTTTTGTTAAATTTCTTAAACAGTAGCTCACCAGCACTTATTTCTTTTAGCAAAAATTCCTCTTTTAATTCTCACTTTATTGAATCAAGACATTTAGCCACAGTAAATATGATTACTTAGTTGTGTCAGTATTATGGCAATTAAACTGGAATGCCATTTATTATACCCAGAATTCAAGAGTTTTCTTCCCAAAATTCAGTAACAACTGGAGATAAATCCCTTGACCTGGACTTCTGTTGCTCTGGCGTCAGATATTTGAAGCCTTTTATTTCACCCAGGCATTTCTCTGAACCACAGTTGCACTGGAAATGTTCGGCCATGTCATATTCTGTTACATTATAGTCAAAGGTGATTCCTTGGCCTTTCTTGATGTTACGGGTGGCCACCATATGCCAGGACACTTTATGATTGTCAGGTAGGGTTGGAAATGACACTCTGCGCTTTTCAAAGATAAATTTTGCATTACTATCACAGGAATGATTGACATACTTCATAACCCCTTCAGGAGTCACATGCTTATTTTTCTCAACTTGCACGGTGTGAGAATCTGGAGAATTTTTCACCGCACCCCAGAGATCAGTTAAAAAAGATCCTGCTGTGATATCCTCTAGTGCTTGACAAGACAGGAAGTTAGCCTTGATCTCAATGACTGCCAACTTGTCAGAGTGCATCTCCCCTATTGATGAGGAAGGAAATTATGCCAAAAGAAAATTAAATGTATGTGGTAGGAGTCGCCTGCATTCAAAGGTCAAAGTTTGAGGATAATGTGTCAAATAATATAAATTTACCACTGTAGATGGTTTCTAAAACAGATGATGAAGGGCTAATTAACCTACGAAATGTCAGCTTTGTAGAAACTCTGCAATATCGCCAATTTACATTAACAATTATCTCGTGATTTACTTCATGGCAAGGCTTTCTCTGATAACAGTTGTTGAGCAAAAAGAAAGGTTAAGTTTATGAGAGTAGAGTTATAGGCTTGCCGAAAAGGACCGGAGAAGATCTAACGCCAACGTTGCCACTGATCAGGAAACTACTTTAGTTCTTAAGAATACTTCATCAAGTCATAAATCTGAAAAGATTTCCATACGATCGTATACTCAAGAAACTTTGAAAACTAGGTAATTTAATACCTAACAAACAGGAGAACAAGTTGTAAGTTACAGTGAACTATTTGAAAGGAGCAGGTGTACACAGTGTAAAGCGACACGTGCTAGTTCGTACGGTATAAATGTACTCACCAATTTGCAGAGATCGAGTCGTTGTTCTCGCGACCATTCACTCTTCAGAAGGGTCTCGTAGGCCTCTGTGAAGCTCTAATGTCGAGCAATTTTCGTAGGATCAAACCGTACCGCGGCGCTCGCATGGCCTATATTATTATCATCAATATCCGCGATTCCTGGGGAGAGTGTAGGCGAGGACTTCCATAAAGAAAATTTGGAAAGGTTTTAAGAACTAAAGGACCGAGGATTCTAGTCCGGATAAACCCATCCTAAATCCCTGAAGTAAATACCACAATATCATTGTTTTCCACTTGAAAAAAGTTTCTGGCCAAAGGGCCTAATTGTGCAAAATAATTAATTGGGCATACACAGATTTATTATCCAACTGTTCTTTGTAGAGTACAAGTAACCTGCACAACAAGCACAAACATCATGTGATATTTGTATTCCAGAAATATCCGCAAAATTCACCCACACTGAAATCTTGATATCTTGTAAAATGTGTAGATTAACCTCTCCCAATTGAGCTAACCGCCACCTGGTTAGCTCAATTGGGAGAGCGCCGGACTGCTGTGCGGGAGGTCGAGAGTTCAATACCAGCCGGACCAACACTCAGGGTCTTAAAATTAACTGAGAAGAATATGCTTCCTTTCTTTAACATCAAGAAATGGTTAGATATTCTAGTCTTCTCGGATAGGGACGAATAAATGGAGGTCCCGTCTCCTGCAGGGTTGGGGTAGGAGACGTTAATTTCCCACGCACGAGATTACTGTGTGATGGATGTCCTCCCTGGGGTGGGTTGGGTGGGTAGTTACAGGGCCGTTCTGAAAACCACTTTTGTGAGAACGCACCCTGTCTAAAGATTATTATCTATCTATCTATTAGATTAATAATAATTAGATTAATAATAATAATAATTAAGTAGATGTCAGTACAACTTATGAAGTTAAAAGGTCTAATAAAGTACAAGTACAGGATAATTTGGCATGATGGATAATAGATCTCTTATTAGACGTCTTGCTGAGTAGTGTCGCTGCATATTTTTACACAGTGATACTACACAACAAAACATGTAGTAAGATATATTAATTACTCAACATACAAATTTTTATTTAAACATTTATTTGATTTAATCAAGACACTTAGCCACAATAAATAAAGTTGGTTGTATTTTAATTAAGTGACTAATTATTTTTCAGAGGGCATAAAATGGCCGCACACCGATTCCCTATTGATGAGGAATTTTGATGTAATAAATCCCTTAAGACTCCTTCACTCAGTAACTGGGTTGCCTGAATGTTGTAAGCCCAGTGGTTTTCTTGCCATGCTTCCAAGCCACTGCATAATTGCAGTGGTATTGAGATAAGTATAGAAATCAATGGAAATGGAAATGACTTGTTCATGTCACAATGTTAATTACTTGAATAATATTTCAAGTAAAATTCAATGCTTATTTCTCTCCTGAAATTAATGTAGGTAGTATATTTGAGTGAGTGTTTGTACATTAACTGGTCAATTAAGGCATAAGTTGGAGTTTTTTATTGTTTTTATATTACCCCTCTCCTGTGGAAACTGCATCAGACGGTCTACCTATATTAAGCAGTCACCCTGCCATTCCCCATAAGTGACCACTTAACACAGGTTTGACAGCAGCTGAATAAATGGGAGGGTCATAAGAATAATGAAAATTAATAAAAAGACACTCTAATACTTCAATTTCATGTCATGAAAGAGAGTGGATTACACAGACGAGACCTTGAGAATCCAATGTTAAATTCAAACATTCTTTATTTTCTTCCTTCCCTGTTGTACTCCTTCCTTGCTGTTTCCTCCCTTTCCTTTCAGAAGAAGACTTTCTGTCACACCTTTTTTTTCTCTTCAGAGAATTGGCCTTATTCTGCAAGGCCAACTAACCATATATTCACAAAATACAAGATGACTCTTGCTCGCCATATTATTGAATATGTATTGTTTGGAGCAGAAAACATTTCGTGCGAACAATTTGCAAAGATCTTTTCATACTGTACCCATTTGAAGCCACCATTCTGTATGTCAGACAGAGTGTTTTGATTACAGCAGCATCCATTGAACAGTGAAGGCCAAATGTGAAATTTGGTGACAAGATGTTGAAGAAAGTATTGGAATGTCCATGGCTTAGCTATCACAAAATTGAGAAGTAAAAAAAAAAAATGGTGTAATGCAAAGAGATAATTCAAAGGTTTAAATAATCAACCTCAAAACTACAACTGAGGTCTTTACACTAACCTGCAATGTGCTCAAGAAAATAAATCCTGCCTCCCTGAAAAATACACAGAAATGCATTAGTAAAATATTGCATTATTCATTTGTGACCATTAGGTGAAAAACCTAAACAAACTTATTGAAAATTTAAATAAATAACCAAAGCAAAACAAAACAGACTGATATGTTTTCATAGCAACTGACATTTGTATGATGTACATAAAACAACTGAACCCACAGAACCAGTTCCAGTTTATATACAATGTCCTTTTAATAAATTTCCTCTGTGGCATATCAGAGATGCACCTCAAAAATAGGGCCTTGATAGCCCACTTATTTTTATTCTCTGAAGGTTAGGGCATTCAGTTTGTGGACTCAGTTTCCAGCATATTTTATTGCATTGGCAATCCTTGATCACCATGCCATGGTAGGCACCTACATAGTACATACATACATATATACATATGTTAGTTGACCACTCCCCTTGGGGGATTTTCAGGGCCAATTCCCACTTATCCCACCCCAGGGGAGGACATCCACTACACAGTAATCTCGTGCATGGGAAGTTAACGTCTCCTACCCCTAACCCTGCAGGAGACGGGGCCTACGGTTTATTCATTCTTATCTGAGAAGACTAGAATATCTATCCATTTTTTGATTATAGAAAGGTAGCAAATTCTCCTCAGTTATTTAAAGACCATGAGTATTGGTCTGACCAGGGCTCGAACCCTCTACCGCCCGCACAACACAATCCGGCGCTCTAACCAATCAAGCTAACCAGGAGGCGGCACCTCTAAAACACTCATTGCCGGAGACTGAGCCAATGAGATACTTTCTAGCAAAAATTTGTCATAAGGTGTTGATCTAGCCGTCATTGCTCCCTCCTTATAAGGTAAACCCTTAGATGCAGGTCTCTGTGGCGATTGACACACCCCCAACCATGTCAGGTATGCAGGCTGAAAAAGATCTCAGGCACATCAAACTTTACCATGAGAGGTAGACTCAAGCTAAATTCACAGAATAAGCAGGGTGGCCAAACATTGAGAGCATCAGCCTCATAATGGGTAGGTTCAGGTTCAAGTTACTCACTGGCCATCCAGATTTGTTTCTTGGTATTTCTAAGTTCAGCTGCTTGACCAGGCTCCAGGATTGTAAAGAGCCTACTGGTTTTCCTTTAGTCACATTGGTTTTTTTTACATGTTGCGTTGAGTTTGAATTATTGGGAAAGGGATATTTAACAAGAGCCATGGTTTTAGCAGCATCTTTTTTACCACTGTGAACAGTTACCCATTTTACATAAAAATGTGGGCAAATATTTATATGAACAATCCAGATATCCATAATAGTCTTTCACTCCATTGAAAGAAAAAAACATATATAATTCTAACCGGTTGACCTTTCCATCGCCATCCACCTCTCTCCCTAACCCCCCCAACCCCCCCAACCCCCCTACATATCCATACTATATACAACAAACACAACTGACAACACACAGACTCATAGCTATATATAACAACACACGGACTCACAGGCATCAAAACTCTCTTCACTTCCTCAATGGTTTTCCTGGTCTCAAGATCAGAGAGGTTGCACAACAGCTTCGTACACACTACTGCGGCGACAGAATTGTCCTCTACACCGATTTCTCCGTTACAACTCATGTCGTCCGCCGAAGCAGCCACAAATTTCTTGAGGTGAATTCTTCTGCCAGCTTTCTCCAAGTTTCTCTTAAGAGATTCTTCGACGTGTGGGTTTGAATCGACAGCGATAAGTGAGGTACCTTGGGGATAATAATCAAAGTTTGACCCTGGACCGATTCCTATTTCCAAAACATCGCCTTCCGTTGACTTCAGTTGTTGCTCCAGGTTAGAGAAAAGCTTTCGTTTCAGGGGATCAAAAACTCTTCTGGTTAAATTTGCCCATTCGTATTGCCTTTGAGCAAAATTTTTTTTGTACCAACTCGTTGATGTCACAATCTTTATCCCTGTAGCTAAAATGGCGGCAAGGAAGAAGATTACAAAGATAACGTTCCAGATCCCTATAGTCGCCATTTTACATCCAAGGTCACTCACTTTTCCATGCACCCAGCCTTTCGCTCCCCTCCCCCACCCCTCCTTCTCCCCCTCCCCTCCCCCTACCTTCTCTGCTCGGGAACGCCTCACAGAGGATGAACGCAGAGATACGAAAGAGCATGAACCAAAGATACAAGCAGTTAAGAAAGGGTAAAAAATCAGGCAACCCGGAAGATTGGAAAGTGTACAAAGATCTGAGAAACACAGTAAGTTGTATAGGATATCTATACAAAAGAAGACTAACAATTGAGATTTTCAAGATAAACAGTGGTATGAATGACAGATTAACACCCTTCGTCAATTTTACCGAATCAAGGCGCAAAGGCCCACTCCTTGAATTTATAAGAACAAAAACAGATCTAGGGAGGAACAGTCTATATTTTAGGGGCCCGATAATTTGGAACTCAATAGACAGAACTTCTAGATGAATAGAAAAAGTTCAGGAATTTGAAATAGCACTGATACGTAACAAAAACCAGTTGCGGAAAGTTACCTTCATTCGCGCAACTGTTACAAATTCATTTGAATACATCAACAAAGTTGAAATGATAAATTGGCCACCGTTACGATTATAAAATCGTAACGGTGGCCAATTTACCATTTCAACTTTGTTGATATATTCAAATTATTTCGTTACCCCCACCGACGCAGCCCCAAACAGTTTCTTTAGAAACTATCAGCCTTTGTTACAAATTCAAACAAGGACTTAGACAACTTTATATATTGAGTTTGAAATAGTTAATAGTATATGGTAGAATTTTATGCTGTTACTTAGGATATGTGATTTTATCTTAAGAAATAAAGATGTTTTTTTTTTTTTTTTAAATTGTATATAGTAGAATTTAATAGTGTACAGTATTCTTTTGTATATGTATTTTAATTAATAGCAGGTCCACCTCAGCTGTTTAGCTGCCACCACTGACCTGCTCTAACAAATAAAGCTTATCTTACCGTACCTTACCTTACCCGTTACCTGCGCCTGCTAGGCCGTATCTGGACGGAAATTAACTTGAACGCATTTGGCGAAAATACTACCGCACAGAAGTCCAACAAAAGGATCTTTATATATTGATCTATTGTTAGTTGACTGAGTAGGTAGATTGGTTTCGCTGAATGTGAATAGGTATGCCTGAGCAGTCTTCTGTCTGAGGTATGGAGTGACCATGTGCACCACAGCCTCTATGCGGGAGTAAGGGGAGGTGCCTTTCTCACCTCGCACTATTTTAACCCCTTGTATGGGGGTATATGGAATTTATAAAAAAAAAGGAAACTGAAGAACTACAAGCGCCCTGATTGGTCGAACAGAAACCCATCATTTATTTCACCTTTAAACCCATGGAAAATTTAGATTTTATTTTATAAATGCAATAGACCCTACTTTCTAAATTGTCACCGGCATGAATAATCCACTAGGGATGTTGGGAGGACACGAGTGGAATATTACGCCGTCAAACCGAGAGAAAGTGCGGTCTGTTGCTTAAAATACGATAGAAGACAGACAATTGAGACAGCATGGCAGTAGTATGAATTCAGGAATCTTTTATTTACGACAGTTAGTTCATCACTGCGTTGGCAACAGTGTTCAGTCAAACCGCCGCCACAAAGTTTCGAACCTCAACTTCTCTTTTTTACTAAAGTTCTTGTTGTAGTATTGTGCCTTAAGCTTCGGCGTTTTTATATTTACCAATTATTCGCCGAAGGCGAGGTGAATATCGTCGAATAATCCCCAAGACGAAGTCGAGGGGATTATTCGACAATATTCACCGAACCTGAGGCGAATAATTGTTTTAGTATAATTTCAGAGCTGAACAACAGAGAAATTTCTAAAATCATAACATTTTAGTAACATTTATTAACATTTTATCTTAACATTTTATATAAACCGCGTGGAGTGGTTTATAGAGCGTCATATAAGGAACCACTCGACCAATCAGATGGCTGGAAACTCTTTGCTCAGCTCTGAAATTATACTAAATTGTTTTATTTCAAAGGAATTTGCAAAATCATTGTCGGCATTTAACGAGTCATCAAGGCTTCCTAGTTAAAGGACATCGTTCCCAGAATTCATAATATAACGGCTCCGTCTCTCATCACAGAGATACCTTATGCCTGTTCTGTAGTTTGAACTTTGAAAGGCGTAAACCACTGGATTTAGAGAACAGCTGCAGTACACTATGAAGTAAGACACTTTGTAGAACAAACTGCGCGATGAAACTTTCATGGCTGAGACCAAAGCGAACGGCAAAAAACACACTATAAATAAAATGGTAATCGTTATCAAAAGTTTGACAATCTTTTTCTTCCTCTGAATGTCCTTTTGTTTGACGTTTTCGCATTGATTTGAGCTGGATGAGAAAATACTACCGCACAAGATTCCTTTAACTATGCGAAAATAACACACGAACATTACAACCCACGAAAGAAGAGTGAGTCCTGCCAAAAATCCCCAGTAAGCCTTCGACACGGGCGCTTTCCAGTCCATGTGGCAGCTCTCTACTTCGTCGACGTATTTCTGTTCGACAAAAAGTGGCAAAACAAAGGCGATTGAGAACAACCAGATTAAACTAACAGCTAAGTGAAGTTGTTTCTTTCGTAATCGAAGTTTAGCATCCATTGGCCGAAGCAGAGCGTTGTGTCTCGCGATTGAAATTAGTGTCAAACTTAGGCCAGAAACTAGTAAAGTTACACCAGCAATTTGATGCATGGTGACAAACTTACAAAGAAAGCTTCCAAAGGAATTTCCCGGATGATGGTCCACTACAAATTGCATCAGCACTCCAGGAAAACAAAACAGAAGAGTTATGGCATCGGCAACGGCGATGTTTGCAAGGATGAAGTTTGTTGTTGTATGCATCGAACGAGTTCGTTTTACCACGACGATGAAGAGAATGTTTCCTGGTAAGCCAGTCAGAACCACAATGGCGTATAGAACGACAAGTATACAGACTTCTGGATAGTTTGTTTCCATGAAAATACTTGTTGCTTCGCTTGCCAATGTTTGAGGGACCTTGAGGCGGTTCTTCAGTTTGATGATTCGGCTGTATTTTGAAAAATTAATAATAAGTTTCATTATAGATATAGTTGGCTTGCATTTATCGTACGTGACTAACAAAAGAATCTGGACAAAAGAAACTTCTTCATTTAAGTTATTGCAATGTTCTTGACATAATAGAAGCACGAATTTGCTCCATAAACAAACAGTTCGTCAAATTATGAGTGGCTAAGATGATAACAGGCTATTGCGAACTTTTGACATTTAAAGCTTGATTCTCAGTACTTCCTTCCTTGATATAGACGAAGACAAAACAGTACGCAATAACTAAAGTCAGACGTAAGCAAACTGAATGGAGGTCACGGACACAAAAGGAAATCATTTCGCCAATCGTGAACACAGGCAGTTTTTTTTGCAGTAAATGATGAATTTGACGCAAAACTGATTACAACTTTGAGAAATTCAGCAGTTATCACTATATGAGCGAAAGAAAACGAAATCTGTAGAGAGAAAAGTTGCTGGTAATTACCATATTCATTTAGTTCCTTTTTATAAACAAAACGTTTCCTTGGGGAAATGAAAAATTTTCTTTTATTTCAAAGCCGTTTCAACGTAACACCGCTTGTCATGGAGTCATGGCACGGGAACAATTGAGTTTATTTTAAATTCTTAGCAGCGCTGAATAGAAAAAGTTGTCTTTCTACTCTGCATGGAGTCATTGGCACGGGAACAATTGAGTTTATTTTAAATTCTTAGCAGCACTGAATAGAAAAAGTTGTCTTTCTACTCTGCAATAGTTAATGTAACTTTAATTAATTAAAAACTCCTTCACTGAAATGTTATTACAACCTCGTGGAAGTCTCGCATGTATGTCATTTTCCCTCTTCACCAACGAAATTTCAGCGAATTAAAACAAGCTCTTATAGTAAAGACACCTGCGAAACAACCTTTTCAAGGTACTAACTCGTTATGTCTCATTTTTTTTTCTTTAAATTACTTTCACTTCCCTGAAAACCTACCACACTGCACTGTCGATCGATATCAAAATTCAATTAAAATTCGTTCGCCGATTTGCCGAAATGTTTTATCATCGAGAGGAAGTTACTTGTGCAAACACATAATTGCTAGAAGCCATTAAAAAAAAAAGAAATGATTTAACACTTAAAATGGTTTTGCAATAAATTGAAGACCACGTCGTATTCAAATTCATTACCTTTTCACCTGGTCTAATTAAAACATTTGAGGGGTAGAGGGGGAGGGGATGATAAATGATCGCTAGCTTGCTCGCCCTGCTTTTTTCGCTCATGATAGATAGATACATAGATGGGTGACTTTAATTATCCGCGGTAAATCCTTCAGCACAATCAAAGGGTATAAAATGTCTAATTCTGCCTAGCTAAACGAACTAATAATTAATACAGTATTATAAGAAAAAATATATCATTACAACTTCTTTTTCAGGATGCCGTTTCTCATTCAAAGCTATTATGACGCACTTTAGTTGTATATTCGCTTAAAGAAACTGTTGATCAGAGGAAGGTTGTTCTACAACAGAGCACCTCTATAGGAAAAGTTTCTCTTCAAATAGCCAGTGCAGGGTTGTGGAACCATCAATTTATTTTCAGAATTCCTCAGTCGTTACGAAGTAATATCATTTCGGGACACAAATCGCTTTGTAGATATTGGTACGTGCTTTGGACCAAGCTACTTCTGCGTCTAATGGAACAAACACCTGTTTCCTTGAAATTTCATCTCAGAGCAAACATCCATCCCTCTGAATCTTAAAAACACTTTGCATACTCACCTTACAATTGGTATAACTTGCTTCCTTTGATAAGATGTAACGATAAACATTCGCACGTAATTTCTTTCTGCAGTCCAAATATTCTTTCATTTATAGATCACATCCTCAAGAGGGACAGCAGATTATTTTCATTTGGGTTTGGCAAAATAAAATTTCAATCCGCAATCAGTATCAAAATCTGTCATTCAATGGGGGAGGGGGAGGGGGAAGGAGGAGG